CCCCATTGACTAAAAGCTGGGAGCTTAAGACCGCTAACTAAAATGCAGATAACCTGTTACTAGACATGCAAAGTTTGGGTGATGATTGCCTCCTGGGGTCGAGGCCAGAGGAGTGCGGCATGGTGGGTAGCCCTGTCTCTCTGCAGTTGCACATAGCTTTATGACCAGCTCTTGGTAAAGAAACTTGCTTGTGAGTGTGCCATTTCTGAAGGATCTCCTGGCCTTGCACAACACTACTGTATGTCCAGATACCATTGCAGGAGCTTGTATTCATTATGAACTTCTCTTGGAAATGTAGTCCATGCCATGAATAACAGTGATCTATGTGCCACGCTGCTACCCTTTATTTCCTGATCAGCCAGGTGTTTATATGTGCTTCCTAACTTCTTTTAGTGTTTCTGGATTCAGTTCAATGTCACTGCATCTCCTCTTCTGTGCCTAGTTCAACACTTAGCTCCCTTTATTGTATACACTCTCTATCCTGTACACATTTCACCCTAGTTCCCTAGCTGTATTTATAATAGATCCTGGCCTCTTTCAAATATAACCATGTGAGGGTTGATCATTTCTCTTATTTTTGATATTTCCAGATCAAGTCCAGGGTAAAATCCTATATTTTAGGCCTCAAGAAGCGTCCATGGACAATATTTGGAATATGCATGAGTGGCGTCCTTTCCACCATTTCTGTAACAATGGTGATCTCCACCATCATGTACTGGAAAAGTGTGAAAAGATCCAGGCTCCACCCACAGGGCAAAATCCGCAAAATCATACGGGGACCTCCGAGACGCACAGTGTGCTAAGCTACAAAGTGAACTGGCCATTCATTTGTCCTTAATATGCCATATGTAGCTCATGTTATTGCTTTTTTCTTTTCTTTCTAAAAGCAAAGCTCTTTAGCTCTACTCATCTTCCCTACCTCAAAGAGTTTTGTTATGTCTGTAAAAGAGTACTTGAAAACAGAATGCAGCACATACCTGCTAACTACTCATTTGTATACTGTAATTTTATAAAGTGAAGTTTTCTCATAATATTTTCAATGCTCAGTAATAGTCCTATAAACTGCATCACCATATCACCTGCAACTGTTTTTGAAAGATCATTTTCTACTCATAAACTTCTGTTTGTGTTCAACACTATTATTCCTAGGAAATTAACTCTGAAGCGTAGTACAACAATACAGCTGCAGATCCTGGAGCCAATTATTTTCTTGCTTGGTTCTTGCAAGTTAAACAAACACTATGGTGACATGCAGGAATCTGTCCTAATTTGGTGGTAATATTCCTGTAAGCTTTTGTGTTCGACAGTCATCCATCTCACAGTACAGTAATGCTTGCCCAGTCTCCTGCTCCATCTAAATTCTCCAAACTTGGACTGGCTCTTTGACTCTCGTTTTTTTTTTTAGAGACAACTCCCATTAGTCAGCCCCTGCTTGTTACATATTTTGGACAAATGAAATTTCTGGGTCACTGTCTGTCCCATAGAGTATGTCACGTGTTTTCTTTGTACTCTTTTACAGACTCTTCACAAAGGGCCTATGGCCGCCTTTTTGATGCAAACTAAAGATAACCCCATGAAAGCCTTAGGAGTGCTAGCTGGTGTCATGGGCATAATGGTGCTGATAACTATCATGATCTCTACTGCCATGTTCTGGCGCAATAAGCGGTCCAACAAAATCATGCCGGTAAGAAGGATCATAAAAAAGAGACAGACCCCACAGTCCCGGACAGTCAGGATGGAGTGGCTGAAGTTCAAGAGGCCCAGCAATGCTGCGGAGAAGTTTGTTGTTGAGGATGATGCCAAGAGCCTCCACAACGAGAACAGCAACAACAACATCCAGGTTGCCCCCGTGCCACCGACCGCCCCCCTGCCCCCGCCGCCCCCCGCCCTGGCTCCCAGGGGGGACGCCCCAGGGTGGCGGGTGCCAACTGTGTCCGGCTCCCTCACTCCCAAGTTTATAAACAAGCAGCTGAAGAAGAGAGGTCATGGCAGCGCCCACAATGCCCTCGTGTCAGAGCTCAAGATGAAGTTTGAGGAGAGGAACGCAGCTGTCAGTGAGCCCCACATCTAGGTGCTCTTGGCAGCCCCCAGAGACTGCGGATCATGGCTGTGCATGGATATATTTATGTGCCGTGGTCTTCCCCGTGTCCGCCAGCACCCTGTGAACTGACAGCAGCTTCTTGCTGTGATAGCCACCCCTCACCTTCTGCAAGTATTACACGCTACGGAGTCATCCCACCCATAGCAAACTCTGCGGCCCGTGTCCAGTTGCAACTGCAGTCCCTTCGGCTCGTGTCCCACTGCTGCTCCCTCCCTGCAGCTGTCTGACCGGGCTGCTGAGTACCCTCACACCAGCCACCATCTCCCCAGGCGAACGGGGATTCAGGTTGCCCTGGTTTTGGAGGTCCCTACCCAGAGTCCTGGTTTTCAACCAAGACGCTCTGCAGCCGAGGCACTGGACGATGCCACTTCTGACCTGGTCTGGCAGGTGGATTTGAGGTGTCCAAAAACAGGTCACTTCAAATCCCAGACCCGCTTTTGAAGATGTTGGCCTGGCTGTGGCACCAGCACCGACGTGCAGGTCTCCTACATCAGTGACGCTGCGCGCTGCAGGAGGGTAGCACGTAGCTGGTACTCGCGTCCTCAGGGCGCGACATGCTTTGCAACAGCTGGCAGAGCGATGTGCTCATGGCCCGCGTACCTTCATTTCCAAAAGGTAAGAAGGCAGGCTTGGAGTAGTTCTTCATTTTCCTGCAGCTTATGCCGGATTTTGCCAGAGTACGTTGACATGATGCTGCGCTTTGCTTCTGCCCTGGACTTGCTTGCTCATCAGGGGACGGGAGGGCCACCTCAGCCTTCCCTAGACCAGCTGGGGAAAGATTTGAGCGCAGTTCAATAGCAGCGCTCGCTCCTTCTGACACCGCGTCCCCTCATGAGGGAGAGGCCAGCAGGAGAAGGACATGATTAAAGCAGCAGGGAAGACAAGGTAAAACCGAGAGAAAAATGATAAGTGAAAAATACAGACAAGTGCTGTGAAGTCGCATATGTCCATCAGGGAAGTGTCTGGAAAGATCATTTGGTTTTGTGCACTGCTAGCAGGAGGTGTCGGAGAATGTATTTCATCACCTCTCCTGGCTTACTCCAGGGACTGGTGAGTGCAAAAGGAGGTTTCCATAAAATATTCTTGTTTGTCCTATCAGTATTTTTGAGTGAATTATGCAACAGTTAAGGGGGCGGGGGCGGCATCTGACACCTTTTTTTCCTGTTACATGACAGTAAAAAGGCACCAAAGGCAGAGCACTTTTTTCACTGGATCTACCCCACAGTTTCTCCCTCATGTTTGTTTCTGAGGACATGTTTTTCAGCTGGGCCTGGCTGTTTCCCATCCCTTTGGGAGAAGGCAGCGTGCGCCGGGCTGGCTGGGGAGCAGCACCCTGCACCCTCTGCCTGAGCCCTGGCCCCGCAGGGCAGCTGGGCTCCCATGGCTCAGCACCGTGAACATCGAGATGGGGAGCAAACCCTACAGGACAGGACACTGTGTTAATTCATGGGACTCTTGTCCAGCTGTCATTTCAGCTGGATCAGCAGACCTGGCCCTCAGGGGCTCCTCTTCTCTCACCCCATTAGCTGGTCTAATTCCCTTTGTTTGCACCAGGACTTCATCAGAGTAGGGAATAGCTGGTTGAATAAGAAGTTACCCACTTACAGGGAAAATCCTGTAATTTTGAACTTCAGTTCAAGCCACCTAGAAGCCAGAGGGTGACCGTGGCTCATGTCACCCATGGGCTGTAGCCAAAAGGTGCGGCAGGGTCCCAGCTGGGGTCCATGGCAGCAGCACTCCTCCCAGAGCCTCTCCGCCTCTCTCATTTCCTCCACTGTTTTCTTGCTTATTCCTCCTCCTGGGGCCGCGTGGCGTGAGGCCCAGGCTCTTGCGTTGTGTGCGGTCACGTCATCCTTGTCGTTCAGCTGTGAGCCGGTGGGAGGGAGGGGACGCGCAGCCCCCGGCCCCAGTCCTGCTGCCCTGCACAAGCACGTGTCTTCTGCTGGTTGCGTCTCCACCAAGTTCTGCAATGTTTCCTGAGGTACCAAGAGTTTGTGATTTATTTCCTGTACTACTGTTTTCCTGCTGTTGTGTTGAAGCCAGTATTCAATGTTCATTCTCCAATGAGGAAAGCCTTTAAAGACCATTCAATTAAGTGAGATTTAACAGGAGTTATAGGCTTATAGTCTTAGAGATTATATTTAAGAGGGAATAAAGATGTTTTATTACTATGCTGTGAGACTTTTTTCCAGTTACTCTGTATTTCAACTTCATGGGTGTTTTTTTAATAAATAAAAAAAAAAACCTGTAAAAGGTGCTTCTGTGCATGATGTTGTTCTGCTGGCAATGATTGCTTGTTACATGACTGCATGGGCACAAGCAGCCAGACAGCTTCCTGGGATGACCAAATGGCTTCTTTTTCAGACCACGGGTCAGGAGAGGGACCATGTCGGATTGGGGCAACACCAGCCTGGAAGGAGAGGAGGCAAGAAGCGGGATGCCATGGAGCACGGCGGACGGGCCCCTGGCCGAGTGCCCGTTGTGCTCTGCAGCCCGCTGCAGCATGGCCCCAGGGGCAGGAAGGCTCCTTGTGGGACGGCAGGTTTAGTTTGATGCCAGTGCTCACTGTGTATGCGATTTATTATGAACTTCCTACACGAGGTGACGGGACGTGTTGTCTGTCCCTGGCTGTTTCCTTGCTATGATTCAGCATCTCTCTCTACAGTCTCTACAGTTTGCCGTTGTTCCTCTGTGTTGACTGGGGTGAGAGGCGGCCAGTTGCTACAGGCAATGGTTCATTTGTCACTCCCCCTTGTACATGGCCCCGTGCTGGCCCTCAACCAGCATCAGCTCATGCCTGACCCCGTATGCACCGTCTCCCCAGGGATTTCTCCAGGACAAGGTTGTCTCCCCACTTGGCTGGCTGCTTCTGCCCCTTCCTCACCACTCCAGACCCCCATCACACATGCTGCAACCGCCCAGCCTCCCCTGTCCCTGCAGCCGAACCCCGGAGCTCCTTGGCATTCAGGTTTCTTTGCAATTTGTAACTGTAAAAGAACAGAAATGAAGCAGAGGACGTCTGGTATTCTGAAAATCCATCGTGTTTATTACTTTGACACTAAACGACTGACAAGACTAGGAAGTCCCTTGAAGTCTAACACCGAGAGTCAGCGTTGACCAAACAGGTCTCTGTTCAAAAGCTGTGCAGTAAGTTACAGCAGAAGGAGGTGCTGGGGGAGGAAATGTGGGGCTTGAGGAGAGGCAGCGTGGAAAACACACCACAAAAACCAAAATACAACTAGAAAGCCAAACTACCACATAGTGAAGCTCACATTAAACTTTATCTCTGCTTACAGCTGAGGTTTCTACTCTAGTTTTTAACTTTTTGAGGTGGTCTCTAACAACACATATGACAAGGGCTGCAGGTCTATTGGCCATGTGCTTCGGTTGTGCTGGAAAGCACGAGGCCAAAAAAGAAAAAAATAAGTCACATGTCCTCAGACCCCCGAGAAACGCAGTGTGAGCTGCTCCGCAAGCAGGGACTTGTTCCTTTTACATGCATATTTGGGGTACATTGCCTCTAGAAAGGAGGCAAGCTTTGGTTTCAAAGCAGCAGGATGGGCAGGCGGCCCATCTGCATTTGGGGAAGGTGCCCAGTTCACACCTTCGGCTCCCAAACCCCGGCTCCACCACCCTCTCCGCCGCCGGCCACTTGTCCTGCCAGCCCGGCTCAGGCTGAGCGTCCCTGTCACCCGCCGCATCAGCCCGCAGCCACAGTGCCGTCCTGGGGAAAAGGAGACAAGCGGTGGAGAAGGTGGAAGAGGAAACAGCAGTTGAGTGTTTGCCTGCAAAACACAAACTGTTCATTTTTTTCACCAGCTCTTGTTCTTAACTTTAAAAAGAATATATCAACACACCACTTGTGTAGCAAGAGGCATTAGGTATATATGTGTCTGTGTGTGCGTGCGTGCTAAAATGGACCTCTAAGATATGTTTGGACACAAGTAAAAGGCTCTCCCCTTCTCCCTAGTGCAAAAAAACAAAAACCGAAAACAACTCAAAAAAACCCCAAACCCTGTGCTGTGGCTATCTTATGCTGGTGTTCAGTAAGCCCTCACAGTTTTCCTGGTTGTGGTACAATAGAAGCTGTAAACCTCTTAGGGCTGTGTAAACCTTATGGAGGGGTAAGGAAAAAAAAAAAACAAACAAAACGAAGCAAACCAAACCAACCAAACAAAAAAACCCACGCCCCCCCCCCAAACCAACACCCAACACCCCTGATCAAAAAAAAAAGGGTTTCTCCAAGTGGAACACAAGAGCTCCATCACGTTGACCCAATCCTTCCCTACTTTTTGTTGCTGGTTATGAGCACAGCCCTGCCCTGGCTCCCCCGTCCTGTTTCTGTGAGGCAGCACACAGGAGAAGCCGGCACCAGCACAGGGCAGAGCTGCAGACAACCCTCCCACCCACCCCCCGGCTGGGAAAAAGACAGAAAGACTCGCCCGCGCAAGTGAGCGAGGGGAGACCTTCGGCCTTTTGCCACGCGCATCGCTATTGGTGTTGGGGTGGGTTTTTTGTTAATGCTTGTTTTCTTGCGTGTCCGCCTGCGTTGCTCGGCGGCAGCCCGGAGCTGCGGGGGTAGAGCCGCACACCCTGGGTACCCCCGTTCCCCGGGGCTCCCCAAGCCTGCTGTGAGCCCCAGTCGTGCGCCAAGTCCTTGCAGCGCAGACCCTTCCTCGCGTGGTCGCCCAAGAAGACCACCGTGCGCTGCGGCTCGAGGTCGTCCGTAAAACGTGCCGCTGCGGCCGCCTTCGCGGGGCGGGCGAGGGGCCGGGCTAGTAGAGGTCGGCGCTGTTCCTGTGGGGCGGCCGGGTCTTGCCAGGCTCCTCGCGGGCCGGGGG